GCCGTTTTCATCGAATCATATCGTTAAATGCCTGATCTATTCAAAAAATGCGTCAATGACTTAAGTCGGACTTAAGTCATTGACGCATTTTTTGAATAGATCAGGCATTTAACGATATGATTCGATGAAAACGGCATTCTAAGGATTAGAGAATAAATATTTCGTTATTTTGCGGGTTTATATCCGAAGTTTGTCACTGTTGTCAACGACTTTTAAAAAGTAAACAAATCGTCAACTTAAGTCTTTTCGTGATACGATTTAAGTCCCCGGACTTAAGTTGGTCTTAAACTTAGGCTTAAGTCCCGACTTAAGTCGGTGACATAAGTTTTTTCGTGATACGACCCCCTGCAGCTTAAACCTAACCTATAGATTGGGTTAGGTTTAGGTTATGAAACTTTTTATAGGTTAGATTGTAGGTTGTCAAAAAGTCGTAACTTGCAGGGCTCTAATCACAATAATATAATATGTCTCTACACTGTATGGATATTTATGAACAAAACAGAAAAACTTAAAATGCAATCATATGAAAGTAATGAAAGCAAAATAATGAAACAATGAATTGCAAGGAAAAAATGCTTACTTGTCTAAATCACTAATTGATCGTTGTGTATCAGATTGAACAAATTGCACTAAACGTTTATGTAGGTCACTAAAATGTCGATAACGTTTAAAAACTGACCATTCAAATGAGCCATGTTTAGTTATGATACAATATCTAAATATATAGACAAAACAAAGACTTGCATACAATAAAAATAAGAAGTTTATAATATCAAACTTTGATAAAAACTCAATCAACGGCTTAGTTTCAAAAACTTTCAACAAGGTTTTGATCTATCTTAAAATCTTTAAATAAAACTTCATCCAATTCTAAACGTACGGCTATCTTTCTATTTTCCATTTTAAATAAAAGCAGTTCCAACAGATCGCATATGAATATCTTATTTCTTACACTACAATGCTTGAATGGATATCAACGGGTAGTGCATGATCAATACCTGCCTAATTTACTGTAATTCAAATGGATATAATCTTACTCACGAATAAACACTAAGAAATTCGGTGAACGACATAGGCATTCGTTTAGCTGTTAAAAATAAGACTTTAACTTCCATATTTGGTAGAAATGTGCGACCATCCCGATCATATACGTGTGAGATTGTGAATTTATTATCTAAAAATAGATGGAAAATTACAAAATTTTACTTTGTACAACCACATTTCATAAACGAACCGTATTGATATGGAGTATCAAAATGATCTTGAAAATCGTTATCTGGATATGGTAAATATTCGTTATATTTACGATCTGGATGTCCTGCATTGATGGCCAATTCGGCCACTCCAGCAGTGTGTCGCACAAGTGCGCTCACACCGCCCATATCTTCATTATGCCACATCTAAAACAGTAGGAAAACAGATTTTATGTTAATCTACGTATCATCAACACTAACTTAAAAAAGAAAGAGAAAAACAAAACGTTATAACATATATATCAGAACAACGAAGTATAACAAAAAACCAACTAATTTTCTGTCTTTCTACTTATCAACAAAGAACTCTACTTCATTTTTTTGTCTAGTATAAAAACCGCTACTTTCGATTTATGCCTGCCTGTCGGTATCTTATACCCTGATTTTTCTATCAGTCGTTTCAGCTATTAAGAAAACTTCTGTCTGTATGGTTTGTGGAATACATTGAGTGTAATTGTGTTTCCTTTACAGAATTTCCGGTAGATTTGAAAATGGATGATTTGTTTTTTTGCCTTCAATAAATGAACAGAAAAACGATATTCGATAAGATATGCGATTGTTTTGATTTCGATTAATAACGATAACAAAAAAGTTTTGACAATTAAAAACGGTATCTGAATTGATTAATAGGGTTCGTTTTGAATTAATATTATTCATTTTAAACAGCCCAATTTGGCTATATCAATCATTATCAGCTAAACGTCTTGTGGAGTAAAAGTTAAACAAGTCACATAGTTATTTGATTATTTAAACGTTGTAAAGGTAGAATAAAACAGTCAGATTCGTTCAAACTTCTAAAGCATTCTGAGTACACCATTCTCTACTGTGAACTTTGTCAGCATGAACAAATAATTTTTTGTAAAAATATTATTCAATAATACCATTCATGCTTCCACAATAGACATTTTTTATCGTAAATCTTACATAATCATTCGTTGCCTAATTTTTATGTCAATATAGTGTCCATGATACAATATATTGTTCAGAAAAAGTTTGTAGTCATCATTTTTTCAAAAGTAGCAGAAAAGAAAAAAAATTCTTTTATTTATTTGATATTGTGGGTTCGATTACACATATTGATTCGCATCAATTGAATAGATAAACTTCTATTTGTTCGGAAAACCGTTGTAATTATTAGTCTAGTTCAAATATTTATTTTTAATATTTAAATTAATTTTTACCAAGTGAATAATGTTGAACAAAGACAATAAATTTAATTATTTAATTATATAATGTTTAGCAACTATTCGAAACATGACATATTATGTAATGTATGATGATTGTAATATTCGTGTTATTTTTCACAAATATCGTCGGCTAATTTATAAACTTATATATTCATCGTTTTACAACAAATGATTTAAGCTGTATTTTTATAATTTTTCCTGCAATTAATATATGAATGTTACATAAGAATGTTAAATGTGTTGTTTAAAAGAGAAATTCATACAACAAAAGAACGAAGCAAAAATTGAGTAGCAACACAAGGAGATTTTAAGTGTGAAACAGTATTTCGAAAAATCGAAGTCCAAATAAATCTATTTCTAAATCTAAATTATTTTCGGCTAATTAAGTTTTTACCAAATCAAAGTAAAAATATCTTCAAGCAGAGAGGAAGATTATTTCATTATCAATCACACTGCCACTAGAAAAACTAAGATATCAAATATTTTATGTTCCAAATAATTGTCTGGAGGTTAATTTAAGTCTATACTAAAACTTGCTTATAGATTCTGTTATAAGGCAGAGTGATTCTGAAAGCTAATTGTTCTTATTCTGAACCTTAATTACCGATTGTATAAAATAACAAGTAGTAAGTAAAGCATGTTTTTTTCTCTAATATAATAATATTTGCATAGCTAAAGTGTTATGTGTATAAAAAACAAGAGAAAAAAAAAGAATAAAACAGGAATGTCTTTTTTTTGGTTCAGTAAGTATCGAAACGTGCAATCATTATTTACAATGAATCATTTTTTAAGTTTATATTATCATGTATAAAAAATAAACCTGGACGAGAAAATATTTCTAGCTTTAGTATCATACATAATATTGTCAAATTCTTCTCAATCACATGTTATATCTTTTGTATAAAAAGGTGAAAAATCTATAACCAGCGCTTAAGTGAAAACGGTTCTAGACGAATGACATTTGCCTTTACGTCATAATAGTTGTAAACAACAGAACAATAGTCTCATTGTTCTACCTATGAGTGCTGTTCTTTCATACTCATTCATACGTGATGACACACTTAGATCGGACCATCAAAGAAATGATTAGAGAAAAGGAGAGTAGGCTAATAAAAATTATTACAATGAATATTAAGAAAAGGTTTAGGATAGTTTTGATGCATCTCATACAAAGCCTGCTTGGATTTTTATACTAACGGTTATTAAATGCGGGATAACCGTTATGAATCTTAAAGCTAATTATTGCCATTTTTATGAGCAAGAAAATAAACATTAATTAGAAAGTATTCATACTATATATATGTACGATTATCAAGATGACTAAGCTAACAATGATATTAAAGCGAAAATTTTCAGAAATGATGCTTCCAGCCTTTGTTGCTTTAAAATCATAACTCATTTGTTCGTCAGATAAGGATAGCTTTTAAAATATCGATTTTGTTTACTGGCTACAGTAATCTTGCGATCAACAATACGAATACTAGTCAATTTCCTTCGTCCTGTAATAATATCTAATATCGTTTTCTATATTGCAACTTCAAATGCCACATCAATTGGAATATTTTCTTTGGATACGTCTTTTGAAATTAAACTCTATTATTGTGTTTCAGACGAAAAATGAATTACACAAATACAAACAGATAAATAGGTTATTATACATTACTATTATAGTATTCAGCAATGCTTTCTATTTCTTGACAGATATTTTTATACCTTCAAAATTTGGAGCCTGTTTCTCAAAAAAACTTAAGTATTCCACTTAAGTGCATTTTTATGAGAAAAATTACTTAATTAGCACTTAAGGAACATCTAAGTTTCCCCGTATGTGCGTTTCTCAAAAAAACTTAAGTTAAACAGAGGTCATGCAGTAAAAACCACTCATCTTAACAAATTTAGATTACTCAGATAAAATTTCTTGAACAAAATCTTTCTAAAATTATTTTCTGTCTAATTATCGTGAGTCAGACTACGAAAAACGTAAAATAAAGCAGTTACAAATTATAAATAATAAAGTGAAAACTTGAGGGTGATCGAGAGGTTCCTTAAGTTAAGATGCTTCCGAGAAACTCACTCAGAAAACAAATCTTACTTAAGTCAAAATGTTGATTTAAACGAAACTTAAGTTCTTTTTGAGAAACAGGCTCCTGAAGCTTTTTATTCTAAAACTTTGGGCCTAACTATAATCTCCTACTAGGAAAAGATCTATTGAGAAATTTTAAAAGTTCACTTATGGTATGCTACTAAAGATTTAATAGAAAAAGCAAGCTTGCACTTATCTACATTCAAAATTCGATCTACTATTATATATTCAATTAACAGATATAGCAATTTCAAACTACTGGATAATATTTGTTTTGATTCCAGTAAGAATAAGCCTATACGGCTTTCCAGTAGGTCTATAGAGTCCGTACGGCTTTTGCTGCAATTCTATTCAATGAAAGATTAACAAATATTGAGACTGCAAAGAAATATTGCCATCTTCGGTAGTCAATTACTATATATTCGATTCTTTTAGATTTAGGGTATCCGACCGTAGGGTTGTTCCGCTAGCCATCAAAAATAACCGTCAATTGACGGTTAGCAGGAATTTTCAAAAAGCGTACCCAATAGAAATTCTTAAATCAAAAAGAAAGGAATAAACAAACTAGCTTTGAAAAAATTGATCAATCAAATTTGTTCTTTTTCTTTTTTATATGTGTGACGGCGACCATTTTTGACGAGCAAAATTGACGGCTAGCGAGAAACAACTCTTGCGCACTTCTAAGATTGTTTTATTTATATAATATATTATGATGATTATTTCATAGAAGAAGAATACTAAAATATGCTTTAGTTTCAAAATCTCAAATAGCATTATTTCACATTCCTCACGTTCATTTCTACTTTTTTTATAATTATGTTTAAGCTTTTTATTTAAAGAAATCAAAAAAAAAGAAACAAGAAAAGAAGACCAAACAAGTGAAATCGTTGTCCTAAGGACTACATTGTATCTCCTGAGAGGAATCCTTAAACAGAACATCATCATAAAATAAAAATGGACGAAAAGAAAAGAAAAACGTTGTACTTGGAAAAGAACATAAAGTGAGAGCAATAAAAATAGATGAAGGAAACTGTGTCAATAGGAGAAAAGCACCTGATATTGGCGTTTTAGAAACAAGGGAGTGGATCAGTTAAATCTGTAAAAGTGAAAAAGTAGAGGACGTAGTCTGTTAGAAACGCTTACTGGCAGTAATAAAATCACCCACAAGCTGACACACAGATAGCAAGAGATCACTGGATAAATGTGTTCTAAGTAGAAGTGTATCAGTATCTAAACTAAGACCTAGATTACCCAGCTGAATAGCCAGAATTGCTCGAGCTCGATCGTACTTTGGACATTCCAAGAGATAGTGCTTTGGATTTTCAACAACCTTTATTGACGGAGACAGAGAAAAACAGCTATCGCAGAAATTTTTACAAACAAGTTTATAATAATTATGTTATTAACCGTTCAATCAGCAAAATAAGGTTCACACACCACTCGCACGTCAATGTTTTATCAGTCTCTGCTATATTTATCTCTTATAGCTGTTTTATCAGATATATTTCTATATGGTAAATTAAATACTTGTTGTCTTTGTTTCTTTGTTTATGATCAATATCTTTTCCTTTCTTGTACGTGCTGTATAGTGTAGTATGTGGTTTAAGTTCAAAAGAAGTTGATGAACATATAGAGAAAGGAAAAATTAATTAGCAGTTGGTTAAAAGTTATTAGCAGTTAGTCAGCTAGCCAATGTTCTCTATCATTTTCATTTTGCCATTGGTAAGCTGTAAATAATTTACACAAAAAAGTTCGTCTCATAATGTGACGTTTTGTAGATGGCGATCCCAAAATTTATGTTGCTTATTTTCGACGAGCAACCGTTTATCTTGGGATGGAAAAATCAAAATCAGCATTACCCGAATTGCCGAACGTTGTTGAACTGAAACCAGATTTTATAGCTGTGAGTATTCTCACCTTTTCGCAAGAAAACTGTAAAATTGTTTGTGTGTACTTTAGGCTTTTATGCAACGTGGAAATGTATTTCTTAAGCAAGGTGATTTTGAAGCAGCGACAGAATATTTTGAAACAGTGGTAAGTTCAATATCTTATTCTTGTTGACTTTCTTCATTCGATTTGATTTAGCTTCAAACGGAGCCGAATAATGATAATGCTCGTAAAAACTTTGAAATGTTATTAACTTTGATCAATGGTACTAAACAAGCTGAAACATTTTATGAAAACAAAGAATACACATAAGCAATCGATGTTTTATCGAGAATTGTCGAAGTAAAACACATAAGATTTTTTTTATTCTTTCATCAAATTTCTTCAATGTTACTCGATTCTAGCATTGTCCGTGGTCAATCAAACTTCGTGAATTACGTGTTGACAGTTATTTAAACGTAAATGAGTATGCGAAAGTGGTCACTGATCTAAAAACAACAGCTAAACTAATACTAGATAATACAGCGGCATTTTGAAGAATCAGTGAATTATTATATCAAATGGGAGAGGCCGGAGGCAGTTTAAAGTGAGAAATACATCTTAGACTAAAATTATTATGTGGCAGAAAACCCTTAAAACTGATCAATAATTGAATCCCACAGCTGCCAAAACTATTTGAACATGTATCCAAACCACTTCTTGTAATTAGTTTTCCGACTAATTTTGTCTTATCATTTTTATCTATTTTTTTTTCTAGTAATATTCGTGAATGTTTAAAATATGAACGTTGAAAATGTGAATGTTTAAACTATATGTGTACGTGTTATTCCAAATCAAAAACATCGACGAAAGAAACCATTAAAATATGTACAGAAATTTTAGGTATGAACAGTCTTAGAAAAACGGTAAATGTGAAGATTCAGTACGAAAAGATGATGCATTTTGACATTAAATCTTAGTGTAATTTTTGCTCTCGTTTTTAATAGCTTTTTTTATTTCGACTTTAATATTTCTTTATTATTTTTAGACCAGTGCCAAATGAATGATGTTGATATACTTGTACATCATGCTGAAGCGTATATTCTCGATGAACAATACGATCAAGCGTTAAAAGATTATCAAAAAGCTCATGTTCATGATGGAATTAAATGAATACAAAAATTAATAAAATAAAGTAAAAAACGTAATTATTATAAAATATTGGGCATACAACGAAGTGCAAATAAAGCAGAAATTCTAAGAGCATACAGAAAACATGGTAAGTTATATACATAAATATTTTTGTATTTAAAACTCTAAAGAAAAATAATTTATTTTAGCTATTTAATGGCATCCAGATAAATACGAAGGTGAAGATAAGAAAAAACCAGAAAAATTGTTTATTGATACAGCAGCAGCCAAAGAAATACTCACTGATTCAGGTAATATAATTTGCTCGAGAAAAGAAATAAACGATTTTCAGAATTCATCTTAGATAAAAATATTTAAAAATTAGATCAGATTAGAAGGATTACTGAAGTTGACTAACGAGGGAACGTTCCCAGGTGTTAATTCGCTTTTAAGTCGAGACTATGTGCATCATGTCGACCCCAGTGAACTATGCATACTCTGAAAAGAGTTCGTCCCCATAGCTTGTTCCTGGCCAGATATTGAATTTTTAGTGGGTTTTTCCTGGTATAGGCGCTTTTTCATGGTTATTGTATAAAACATAGATATTTTGAAAAATTCATGTCTCGGAAAATGATGACTCAGTTTTGTAGAACAAATATTTTTCTACAAAATGAGGTGTAGTACAATTCTACATCTTTTTTCTTTCTGCTACAATCGCTTCTCGGTGACGAGTCCTAAACCGGTATCAATATACCCGTTGTGAGACGTTTTGTAAACAGTTTTTATTTAAGTACTAATTCAACACGAAAAATGCTATTATACCTAATTTTGTAGAGAAATGTTTGTTCTACAAAGTTCAGCTGCTAATAAAACTCTAGAAAGTCATTTTGCGTCCTGAAAAATTTTTTATGACAAAAATGCGCATTTGCAACTGATAAATATCGATGCATGCCTATAGGAAATGTTGCGAATTAACAGTGAAGATGGATGCCTTCGTTTTTCGGAAATGTAATCTGTTGTTGGCCTACTCTGATAACCTTTTAAGACTGTGGATAGGAGTTTACCATCATTTTTTTGATTTAGAAAAGCATGCTAAATTTGATAATGGTGAAGATCTGTTGAATGCTGAAGAACAAGCACAACAAGGTGGTTTTAATCCATTTGGTGGAGGAAACGGTGGTGGTTTCACCTTTCGATTTCATTTTAATTAGCTGCCTTGTGCTTGTGTAACGGAGCTATTGTTAAGTTTATTTTTTTCTGTTGACTTTGTATATGTATTTCTCTCTTAGACACAAGAATGGACTTTGTTTTCTGTTTGTTACTACTAGAATAATAAAAATTCCCGAAACCGTTGAAGATAAAAACGAGTTCTACTCACCACTGCCGGTTTTGTTTGTTAGTTTTTATTTTCTTTATTGTTAAATTTTGTCTGTCTCTCTGCTTTTTCTCGTTTATAATATTTTTATTGACCATATGATATTGTATTTCTTTGTTTTGCGTATGTGTGCTTTCGATTTAAATTTATGTATGCGTGTATGTCCGATATTTTATGTAAAAAAAGGTGTAAGTTCGGAGGAGATGCAGCAATGAAATTTTAAAGTAACGATTTTGTCGTAGCAACTCATAATTAACAGATTTTTAATCTGAGATTCATTCCTATTATGAAACTTCGTACAACGTCAGACTGGTAGAGTCATAAAACAATCGTAATCACTTCAATAATGTTTCAATCATCCGAAAGTTTACGAGTACTAAAGGTTAGTACTTTTTAGATTTCTTGAATATTTAATGCAGTATGTCCGTATTGAGCGCTGTAGAGTACAGTCCATTCAGAAATAAAAGGTCCCTTTTCGAAGACTGAATAACTTTCGAATGGAAAATAAATAAAAATATTTCATTCTTGTTGCTTTGCTTGATCAAACATACATATTATCACATTTTCTGTTCGGTCAAACCAAAATAGCACACGGCTAAAGTCCAACTTTCGGCTAAGAATCCATAGTGAAGCTCATTATTGATATCAATATCATTCTTTTTATTGTGCGTGTCCAATAGCAATAATTGATTTGATAATCTCTTTTATTTCGTAGTTGTAGAGTGGACGGACAAACCGATCCGGATTTTTCACACCACCGGAGATTTGCTTTTTTTTAACTGTCTGTAATGTGATCGCTTAATGTCCATAGATACTTTTTCTGAATGCAGTGTAGTCTATGCGAGAAAACAATGATTTTCAGCCGATTTTATGTAAATTAAACGTGCAAACATTCGGTATTAGAAACAATCATAATGATAATAATAATCTAGAAAAGTATACACTACAGTGCAGCTTAGTCAACCGTAATGCAATCTCCACACCGCGTCATTTGGATTTCAAAAACATCAGTCTCAGGACGTGGATCATACTCTTCATCATCATTGTTTATATCAATCGTCGAATTCCATGACGACCAAAAATAGGTATCGATCATTGATCGATCATAGGTTAGTGTTCTGTTGATAATGCCAAACCGTAATATTCGTTCGATATTCGAGTCGGAAAGTGGAACAGAGTGACGGTTACGAAACAGCAGAAATAGACACCTTGTTATTGCATCAACATGGATGGTGCCACCGAAGAGAAATGCTTCAAAGGCAGCACCGCCATCGAACAAGGCTGGTTCCGTCGGACTTATTGCATACGCAAAGAAGGGCTCACGAGGAACGGGTACATTGGGTAGTAGCCTGGCTAGTTCGCACAACAGTACAACAGCAACCAAGAAGGCAGTGACATATGTCGTCGAAGGCAAGTCAAATAGTCACCGATTGAGACAGAGAGAAGACGACGAATGGCTGCTGCTGGTCAACAGATGATCATGATGGTCGGCAATACAAATGTCAATCTATTTGATGCGTGTCAGCATATTGGGTAAATACTTGTTGACATCTCGTGTATCAGTGAGAATTGCTTCGATCTGAGTATTATCCATCGGTGTGATCGAAGGCCACCAGATGCGACGATACTCATCACCTTGGGAGACATTAGCCAGATGGGCGAGTTCAGCTGATCGATGATCGTTGTTAAACAAAATTTTGTTGATAAAAGCGAGTGCTTCGACGAGGATCAGCTTCGTGTTGTTGCTGCACTTATTGACGATTGGTGTGGAACGAAATGTGTTGAGATGCGTCATAGAGCAAAGTCTATAAGAAGAACAGCAATAGATAAATAGTCAGTATACAAACTCATAGAATGGTATACAGTTATAGAACAAACCAGGGTAATCAGATGTAAAACTTCAAAATCAGAAAGCGTATTTTCCGTACTAGATAGTCAAAATAAGTGCTGCGATTAAAGCAAAATTTGTTTTGCCTGTTTGTTCTCTTTATTGCCATATGACAAACAAAGAACAACAGTTTGAAATAAAAATATGAAAAAATGTCACTCGATTCGATTATCATATGAACAAAAAGAGAGACTGATCAAAAGCACTTTTTAATTTGTTCACAGCCTAACTGCTTCGTCTAGCTCAATGGGCTTGGCGTATGTCATGTCCAGTACGAATATTTGTTCTTCATCACTTTGTGCTTTCAATTTGATATTGGTATCGGTCACAGACTGATTGTTGATATCGACGTAAAATCTCACCGACATACTTCCAGTTGAATCAGCGTTCAACAGGTGTTTGAACATTGAGATATCACCGAGATGCATGATAATTGACACGATCAGTTCCGATAGCCGGATTTGTCCTGAGTCCGACGATAGCATCCATAAATATTGTTCATTTTCGGCTGTTGTGAAATGTATCATGGAGCCAACGAGCAGTTTTTCCATTGTTGAACCTCCACCATAGTTGGACCAACATGTTTGTTGAACATCCCTACAAAAAAATATTTTATCGGCACTGGTTGTGCACGGGTGCGCACCGAAGCCGAATAATTGTTCTTCTGGACACCGATGCCAGAAAGAATGTGAAAATCTCGCACTGATGCGCACACTCTAAAAAAAATGCGACTTAGGATCACATTAAGTCGCATTAATGTGCCTTATTTTCACAGAATATGGCACATTAGCGTGACTTATATTGATCCTAAGTCGCATTTTTTTTTACAGTGAAGTGCCGAGGCAATGCCGCATGGTTTTAGCATGTCAATGTGGTATTGATCAGTGCTGCATTCTAATACAAAATTCAGCATAAATAACTTTAATAAAAAACTAATTAAATTGATTAAATAAATTTCAGTGCGACACCCATGCGGCACTGATTTTTACAAGTGCAGCAGTTTTTGGCAGAAATATATCGGCACTGGTGCGCACGGGTGCCAATCGGCATTTGCTGGGCGCGGATGCGCACCGATGCCAGACAGTGCCAGTGAGCGATGGCATACCATGCGCACCGGCAGTACCGCACTGATTTTACAGTGTCGCACCCGAATTCTTTTTATAGGGGCGTTTATTGGATTGTGCAGTTGGACATAAAAAACACATTTCTGATGTTTTGTGAGGTCCAAATGGTCTTAATGCATGTACTGTTTCATGTAATATAATAATTCCCGTGAAAACGAGCGCATCGTCATATGATCGCATTTTGGAAAGATTACAATTTCGAGAGTGTGGTTGTTTTTTGCTGCGCAGCATTTCGCATTGTAATAGCATGGTTATTGCCTAAGAATATTCTTGTTGATTGAACTAGAGATGTCCAGGGTGCCCTTACCCTGCAGGGTAGGGTAGGGTATAGATGTATCGTCGGTAGAACATTGAGGTTGGTCTCTAGCGACAGTTATTTTAAACTCTTTATTTTATCGGATGATTTCAGAAAGAATATTCAGTGCCATTGGGCGGGTTTTAGAAGAGCGTCGACAAAGGGTGGACGAAGAAACGGTCGATGACATTATGTTGCTACGAAATTTTAAAAGAGAATTTTTATCAATATGATTCATTTATTTAAAAAAATAAAAAAATAATTGTAAATGAAAAATTCTCAAATTTTCAAAGGGTAGAGTGGGATAGAGCTCAAAAACTTTCCACAGGATAGGGCAAAGGCTCAATAGACAGTTACCCTGCACATCTCAAAATTGAACAAAACGTTCTTTTTTGTTGTGTACATAAAGAGATCATATTCGAGTAGACGTTGCTCACTGACACATAATCCTTGTTCATCATAATTGCCTAACATCAGATTAAAAATCTCCTGATTAGTCCTTGTATTGTTGATAATTTGTTCATAACGATTCTTAGCCACGTTGACGAGATATCGACAAAGCACGTCGTTGTTCGCAAGAGTACGGTTGACAAATTCGAGTGCCTTTTCCAAAATATCGTTAGCACGACATGTTGTTTTGTAATCATCGCTCATCTCGAGCGTAACGGACTTGCATTTTTTATATATCTGAAACGAAGATAACACAACAGATAGTCTCACATAATAATTCATCTCTTAATGGTCATACCTGAGATAGTCTGATATGTAAACATCATTCTTCCGAACATCTTACCAAGAGACAAATTGAAAGTGATCGAAGCAAAGTTACCATCTCATCCACTGACGGCAAACCGTTCGTTAAATGATGTATGGTCGACGGCGACATTTTTTTCAATCCTTTACTCAGTTTCTTCTTCTTTGATCACATCCATTTTTCATATGGAGCGATATGCTCATTAGTAACGCACGAAGAGGAAACATCCAATGTGAAATTCATCTCACCATAACTGCCAAAGTGAAAAGCTGAACGAAAACACGAGAGATAGTTTGAAAGTAAAGAATAGTCGTTTGACTAACTGTTAGACTCGTCGAAGTTTGAACTTCGACTCGAGACATTGGGAACCTCTCTGTGCTTACAAACGCTCAACAAAAAATAGAAAGTTTAAGACTAGATTGGAACTCCCGTTCTGCTTGTTCATAATGACAAAATACCAGATAGTACCGCTGGTTATACCGGCGGTAAATCGAACGATAACCGGGGTTACCGTGCGGTAATTTTGATTTTGCTACCGATATAGCGGTCGGGGTACTAAATGGTGACCGAGCGGTACCTTTTCGCTTTTGAGGACATGGAAAGCTCAATATCTCGTGATCCTTACATGAAACGTTCCTCGTAGTTGTAGACAGTACAGTTCTTGTCCCACTCTATAATAAAAACCTTAAGTGCTTTGTCGAAAAAAGGGACAAGATGTTGTAAAATTCATCGCGATATTTATCAATTCACATCGAGAGTGGCGCCCAAATCGATAATTTTGCTGGAAGAGTAATAGTCATTTTTCCCGGTTTCTGCATGAGCTATGAAGTCAGAAAAGACCTTCTCTTACGTAACTCAATGTGCTCTTTAAAACTGGCTTGGTTTTAAGTGAAGCGGATCAACTTGCTGTAATGATGGGACATTTCAACTGAATTTATTCGGCCAATAGCCTAGACAAACTGTGTCTATGCACAGTCTTTCGATGAAAATTAGGATTTAATGGGAAAATTTGGTACTTTTATTCTCAGAAAAGCATCAAAATGAGAATCCTCAACCACTATGATGCCTCTTTAGAAGCTCATCCAATACCCATCATGATTGGCTCTGTCGTTCAGCCATTGTGGTTTTAGCGTAGCTTGTCCTGTAAATATACATCCACATTAGTGCCCCGACGATCTCTTTATTTATTATATTGTTTGAGTTTTATTTATCAGTTTAATCGTAACATTAAATTTCTGATGGCCAAGGCTTGTGCTATTATAAACAACACAGAAGAATTAACTAATGACGCAACTGCAACAGCAGCTACAAAAGTCTGTTATCCTGGACCAAAATCAGATGTACAGTATCCTCTCAATGTTCAGTATTGTAGTGGTACGATAAAATTATCTAAGATAAAGTTATTTAAAATCGAAGGTTATTATATATTTTTTCTCTCATTTAGAATGCACGATGCCGTTGGAATTTTGTGAATATTCTCCAGATCCAGATCGCTGTCACGAATGTTTCGAAAGAAATTTACCTGATATGATGCGCCAAATGCAAACACTGGGAGGTTAGTTAACGTATATTACAATCATCGTACTATATGTCGTACTATGATTTGTTTTAGGTGCGGATGGTGATAAAACTGAGAAACGACATCAGACACGCGGTGGTAAAGCCATGCCAAAAGCAAAAAAGAAATTTGAAGCACAACAAATTATATTAAATAAACAGCAAAGAAAAGGAAATAAATTTGTGACAATCGTTCAAGGACTTGCTTCGAATGGTAAAGATTTTCCCTTGATACTAGTGTTCTATTACTGAATTTTACTTTTTATAGAAGTTGATATTGAAGCAGCTCGAAAATTTTTCGCACAACGTTTCTCATGTGGATGTTCAAAGTCTGCTGATGATGAATTAACGATTCAAGGAGATGTTGTCGATGAATTGACGGAGTTGTTGCCAGAAAAATGGACTCAGGTCAGTGAACCTTGTGTATCAATGTAGAACTTGGTTGCTTATTCTGGAAAAAGGGATATTTTTGTGTCTCTGTTATTTTAATTTTCACACCCAAGCAAATATGATAATAATGTTCTTTTATTTTCAGATCAATGCCAAATTGATTGTGGATAAATCTTAGCAGAAAAATATTTATTGCACTGATACTTTATTGTGTTGAATATGCATCGTAAAAAATTTACCATTTGTAACCATTTCTCCGAGCAAAATATGTTTTGAGCACTAAATTGTTTAGTTTATTTCATGAATTAAAGATCAAGGACGTTGGTACCTAAACAATTTAAATATATATAACGTATTGTACAGAAGAAATATGGATACAAAATATAGTTCAGAGGAAAATAGTTATCGAGGTGAACGGGAAGTCTCAGACAGAGCCTGTAAACAGCGAAGCAACAAGAACGTATAATTTATTGAGAAATTTAATTGTCTCTTCAAATAATCTTAAAATTTTCGGTACTTTTATTTAATATTTGTTATATAGGTTACCTAATTATCATACTTTTAGCCGTAAGGCAATTCAAGAACGATCATCTTTTAATCTTTTGTTCATTTAATAGATTGAGGAATTTGGTGCTCATTCATCTTAATTTTTGGTATTCATTTCTTATAGAATGTTTCATACTCAAAAAAATTACTAACTAAAAAATATTTAGAGAGCGGCTCTAAGAGTTTTACTTTTATTTCAATATTTTTTTGTTTTGACAAACCATCCTTATCAAAACTATCATATCTTCTGTTTTTTCTTTTTTCTGCATTATTAAGTTAATGATTGTAATTTTTCTGTGCGAAATTGGTCAATTTTGCGTTACGTATTTATTACCATCGATATTGTTTTATTCCCACAATTATTGAAAAGAAATTAACAACTTACGCGTAGTTCAAAACGAAAAAAAGCGATATTATCGAAGATGATCAAATAAAAATTACAGTGCAATGAGTATGATACGAAGTTTATTAACTGTTATTATCACGTTTCGTTTCTTGTTCAACTACTTAGGCAATTGTTATTTATTTTTTGTATTTATATATATATGTATAAAGATAGATAAATATACGGAAGAATCAACAACATTTTTTTCTCGTTTTCTTAATCTCTTGTACGAATGGAAATAAAGAGGATAGATTTTAATTAAATGTTAATTGCTACTCTTAAAATGCGTTTTTTTGTTTCTTCAGATTTCGTAAGTGATATTTTTCATCTAACACTAGGAGAGTGAGTTAACGCAGAAATGGCCAAAAGTAAAAATCATACGAATCATAACCAGAGTATGTAGATTGAAAGAAGGTAATTCGGATTTTTAGTTAATCAATTTTTTTTTCTGTTTATTTAGATCGAAAGGATCATCGTAATGGAATCAAACGTCCACAATCACAGCGTTTTCCATCGTTGAAAGGAGTAAGTGATTTATTTCCACATCAATAAAAAATGTGTGGCAGTAGAATGAAAGGCTAGTACTAGTTAGATAACTCTATTGAGCAATTCAGAATGAATACACGTTTTTCTATGGGATAATTAACGTACCCTTTCGATGAACAAGTTACTACTAAACAGTTAAAACTATTAACAGCATATTATTTTTTGTGTAGGTCGATCCAAAATATATTCGTAATTTAAAATTTACAAAAAAACACAATCGTGTTGCTCGTAAAAAGGTATTAAAACAGTTTCGTGAAAAAACAGCTGATCAACCGGTAAAAGTAAAACGAATTTTACAACCATCGAAACAAAGTGGTGGATGGTCAATCAGTTCTTTATTGTCAAGTGTTGCCACTTACTTTGTTGGCGATACAGTCGATGACAAAAGTGCCAAAAAGAAAAAACAATCGAAAACAAAAAAGCCCAAAGATACAACAACAAAAGGAACAGCCACTACTGTGAAATCATCGACAACCGGTGGAACAACAACAACTAAAAAGCAGTAAAATTCTTTGTTTCGTTCTATTATTATTGAGAAAGATAAATATCATTACCATTGCTTTGTTATCTGAATTTGTTTTAGAAACAAAATAAATTAACTAAATAAAGAAAGAAGCGTTTGTTGAGCAATTGTTGAAATATGTTCGCATATTTTCTCACGCAATTTGAAGCCTTTTCACATGGTAAAAACATGGAATTCGAGGCTCTTTTAATCCTGGAATTCGAGGCTCTTTTAATCCAGGAATTCGATAGAGAATGTACTGCATTTTTTAAGATATTAAAAATAATCTAAATTGTCTGAAAATAATATCGTACTCTATAAGACTACTACATCTGGTATTTATCATTTTTACTTCAATGCTGACATCAATTTTTTTGAAAATGTTGATACCTAAGTAGTTTTTAAGATATTATTTGTCATTGCTCTCCTCTATTAATGCGTAAATCATTGTTCGATTTTATCAAAAACGAGTAAGTTAAAAAATTGAAAAAGTGTATTTTCAAAGTGTTATCGTAACAAAACTTAATTAATAAAAACTACTCGGCAAGACTTCAAGGTGCAAATTGAATTATATTTTTGATCAGTACTATTCGCTTTACGCCTTATATTGAAATTATATTAATATATTTGACAGTAGTGGACTCAGAGTACACACATGACCGTACCTATCTTGACCCTAATATTTTCATTTTTTCCTGACAAAGTATTCTCAAAACCAATTAGTCACTAAAAACCTACGTATTTTCGAAAAATCTCATATAGGTGTCTAATCTTTATGGCATTTCTTTGCCAAACAATTGAAGTTTGTCTGCAAAAAAGCATCTATATAAGTATATTGTTAATAAGTAAATTTAACTACATTTTCATATGTAAGAAAAAACGGTACCTGTGTAGAACAACGTACAATTACACAAATAATGTACACATACATTCAGGTCATATAAGTATATGAATAGGCTTATGTATATATCCGAAAGTAGATACATTCTGTATCTGTATTACATGACACCATTTCTGTGTATGGACGGTCGCTGACATCTAGCTTTAATTGACAAGCTTTATAAATTCTTATCTGTTTAGACATCAACATCTTATTATCCACCAAAAGAAATAAAAATAATAAACTGTCTGGAAATAGAACTAAGTAGTAATGCATGTTTATTGATGTTAACACTTCCAAATATCTTTAGCAACTTTACGTTCCGCTATCGTGTGCTTTTAAGTACCCTTATGACCAGTGGCGGGATAATAAGGGCCAATTGCCCCCCCCCTCCTCCCAATAAAAATTTGTCCGTTCTGCACTGACTAGAGAAGAACGATTTAAAAAAAGAAGTAACACTTGCTTGCCATCAAGAAAAAAGAAACTGCGTGAAGATGGCTCAAAATCAGATCTTCTTTTCCCGTTGAAACATTGAAAAAAAAATTATGACCCCCCCTCCCTCCAAGTTTTTGGACCTGCGTCACGACTACTTATGACAGATTTTTCGAAGAAACTGCGTCGAAAATCTGGGAAACTCTTTCATGATTCTCTTCACTGAATATTAAACCTTTCTTGAATGAGAATTCTTCTCCAGATAATATTTCATCGATGAGCACACTTTTGTTTTTTTTGTAATTATTTCCCACTAAGATATAGTCTAGCTATACACAAGAAAAAAATTGTTTATACACATGTAAATTACTGCTAAAAAATAAGATAAAACAACAACGAATAAAAGGAAAAACGGGAGATAACTCAAAAATATACCGATGTAGAGTAGGATTACTAGTCTTTTTAAAAATCCAGCTTACTTAACTGCATTGGTATCGATTTCTCATAATAATAGGACTGTCTGATAGCCACCTGTATTCATAACACCTATGGGTACATACAGAGATGAGCAACAGATTACTACTGTTAACAAAATTCGTTAGTCACGAGTTTTAAAAAACCAGACGGTATAGATGAAAGAACATCATATTCTATGATAATTGATAGACGATAGTTATCAACAGGCACAGGTAATGGCATAACCACATATGTCTGTCATTGGACACTTGTTTATACAGTGCATTACAGGCTAAGTGTTGCCTAAAATTCAACATTTTGTGAAAAACATTCCATGCGAATTTCGTGTGAATAGTTCCATTTTTCGTCTTTATTGCTTAAATTTTTCTTATTTTTAAATTGGTGAAATAATAGAAAACAAATTGCAAACCTTTTGTTTTAAGAAAAAAATGGTAGATGCATTCGATTAAACAAGATCAAACTACAAATGCTTTATCGTGGGCTCATTTCTAATTATTGACACTGACTGTTCATATCACCATTTGATATGAGATATTTTCCACTAAATGATTTGATCTCCACAAGTGACGAATCAAAAGGAGATTATATGAATGAATAATGTGCTTCGTCATTTACTTGAAAAATACAGATGTAAAAGCGAAACATCGTTACTGCGGTAGCTTAAAAAAAGACCTGAACGCAAGAAGAACGGTTAGATAAAAAAAAGATTCTACCACAATAACAAAAAAAACAAAAAACGATCTGATCAAAACAGAAATGTGCATAACGTTTGTTTGACGTTAAATATGAACTGTACAAGAGAAACAACAAGAACAGAAAGCAAAACATATATAATCCTGAAAAACAACCGCCTACAATTAATGTCTTTTTTGATTATTTAGATCTTCTCGATCGTTTACGTTTATGATCTCTATCTGAATCATTGTCGCGATGTTGATCATTTGAATCATGATGGTTTGATCTTAAACAAAAATAAATAAATTTTAGGATATATAGATGCAAATATCAAGTATATACCGTTTGCTCTTATGTCCTTCATGAGATGATTTTTGTTTTTCTTTTGATCTTTTTCGTTCGTGTTCACGATCATGACGGCCCTTTTCTTTTCGACTCGAAGAATGATGTTGATCTTTTTCTTTTATCGATTTTTCTCTTTTATCGACACTGTTGTTACTATCATCATCCTGTTCTTCGTGTTCGTCTTCTTGTTCATCTTGAATAATTCTTTAAAAAAAAGACGTTGTAAAAATAAATCGCACCTTCTGTAATTCGTTTTCTTACGTGTACTGTTTTTGAGCTAGTTCAATTTTACGACGTTCCACTTCTCTGATTTCTTCAGCTTTTCTTCTCGCTGCTTCTTTTGGATCAAATTCGCCGAGACCCAATGCTTGACGTAATTTACGATTTTTTTCTTCATTTGCTTGTGCTAGTTGATGGGTTTCTTTAGCTCTAAAGAAAACCACATAACTTAAATATAGATTTATTAGAAAATCTGTGATCTACTCCTGAACATCTAGTATTGCGATTTTTCAATTTGGAGTGAGATATACAAGTACTGAGATATCTGAATCCGGTGTGGTTGATACATCTAGGAACAGTCTGATATAAATAAGTAAATAAACACTCATTCATCACAAGAGAGATCGAACAACAAAATTTGTTATAAATTTCGCTTACACTGGTCTTCCATGTTCATCATATTCAACTTGTTTTGTATCATATAATCCCTCACGTTCAACTAACATTTTTCGAAATTTCTGTACTTTGCGTGTGGTCGTTTCTTCATCATAACTAAAAATAGAGAATAGCTGGTAAATAAGCAAGATGGAGTATCAGCAAACATAGCCAGAGAGTATTCAAATCTGACAAGAGTCAATGGCATCTGTTTAATCTCGCAAAGAAAAAACATGACTGTTCATTTCACTTACTCATTACTTAACATCATATCACGCATTTCAACACATTTCAATTCGATACGACGTTTTTTTTCATGTTCTAATATTTCTGCATTTCCTTTTCGTTCAATTAATGCTTCAAGTTGTTTTACATCCGCATCTTTAACATATGTCACACGATCACGTTTTACATTTACAAATGACAGGTTTTTTTGAACATAACCATTTGTGCCCGTACCACGAGGCGTATTAAGACCAATACCGTTATACATCTAAAACAAAAGTATGCGGTTTTGTAAATTAAACAAAATGCAATCATAAAATAATGATCTTATTTCAAAATAAAATATTGTTGAATCAAGCTTTAGATATACCATCTAACATTACGTAAAGGATTGGTTCGCATAAGGTTGATAATCGACCCATTTCAATTCTTGCCTAAAAATGGAACAGAAGTAAATCGACTAGGGAAAGACGTGACATCCAGTTTTTACTATTTCTTGCACTAGTAAAGAAACATGTATATTTTGTGATATATACTTTCCCTAGTCGATTTACTTCTGTTCCGTTTTCTAGGGGCTGGCCAAACGTTTTCAGACAAAAATTGAAATCGGTCGATTATCAACCCTATGCGGACTCATCCTTTAAGATATGTAATCAGAAACATAGAACGTGTTTTGAATGCAGTTTACTGGAACAATCCGTAACAATAAAATAAAACAAGATACAAGAAATAACAAAAATATAAAAATACAAACGAATATTTTGTATTCTTAGGCACTGGCAATTATTGTGTTACTGTGATAGTTTGTTTGATTTGGAGCAGTAGTTGAAGTTACTCAAGCTTTTTTCATTGTCGGTTTCGTTTTTAATTTATCTAGATCACATTTCTGTATAGATTTCAGCTGTTTCTTTTTCATACGTTTTATTTTGGCTGGAGTTTTTATCTGAAAGTGTAAAGGGTACAACGGTGGAACATTAAAATGGTAGCAAATTGTTCAATAAATTCTTTTGATTTACCACTTGTACAATTTCTCCTTTTCGTTCATTTTCCAACTGTCTTTCTTCTGCAAAAAGAAGGAATTTTTGAACAAGTATCAGAAATACAAGAAAAACAAATATCGTACATCACGTTTTTTATTGACAGCATTCCACATCTCTTTTTCCATTAAACGTGTGTGATTCAAATCTGTTTCAATTTAATTCGTTCATTATAAATCATTGTCAAAGATTTTGGACGAGATATAGCCGAAAATCTTCAAAATAACTGTCATGTGAACAACTTATTTCATACATTTAGAAAAATAACTATTATTACCTGCCTTTTTGAAGTTCCAAGATCTACCACTTTTCGGTTTTCCTTGTGGTATGGAATGCAGTTTTTCTTTTTCAAAATATTTGTTGTAATTTTTCCTTGATCCATCTAGAAACAGCGAAATATCGACATAAACAACAATTCTAAGAAATTCCTTTCAGTCATTATACCGGACGCTCCTCTACATGCTTATTGATAGAGACAAAACGAATAGCTTTGAGTAACAAGTTGTTTTTCTAACAAGCAAAATAATCTGAAGAAAAATCAACTTGAGATAAATAAAAAAAGAAAACAGTAAGAGATGTGTTCGTTACAATCTCGTTTAACAAAAAAGAGACAGTTACAATGAAGATAATAATGACAATGAAAAATTATGAAGCGAGGAAACGTCATTTAGATGCCACTTTATTTCGACGTGGACGTTTCATTCTAAAAGAAAAGTTGGTTTGATAGCGTCAGTTCGATAGAACGTTAGAACAACTCTCATTATCGGAAGAACACAAAAGTTTTTTTAGATTCATACACTTCATTAGGATAATAAGAAAATGAATTTGCTAATCTTTGTCGTAGCACTTTAAATAGTTATATGGTGCAAAGTTATAAATACGCCTTTTTTGAACATGCCAGTGATCTACTCTCGAGAAAAGAGAGTCCACGCAGTTATTTACCAGCCTAATTTCTTTTTTTTGATTGAATATTAACCTCCATCACATGTGCGGCAGCTATTAGTAAATAAGACGACGTCTATACGTACGAACGTCTATCATGTGGTATGTGTCCGACGTCTCCCACGCTTAAGCAAACGACACGACCATTGGAACCGAGCATTAAATGTGTAATGGAACAATGATACAAATTGAATCGTAGCCATGCATCGGCTGGTATTTGTAATGCTCTGAAAACAGATGACATAGAAATGAATAAAAAGCAACAATTGTCATTTATTAACTCACCGGCAAACAAAATAACGTATTACGTTGCCATGGCACACAATTATTTCATGTGAATCTTCTGTTTGATTTGTTAATGGCCGATGAAAATAAGTGTGAAATGCCGTTTCAAGTCGGGCTGTTTCTACTTCTATGTTACCCTAAAAACAACAAAAATTAAATATCTAACAGATCAACTTGAAAGGTATATAACATACTTTGGCAATTTCTTCGACTATACGACCTGGCGGATCGGGTATATAAGGTAAACTATAGGTGGAGAATCAAATTCATAAATTTATAATAGAAAAAGTCAAGGAAAATAAAAACTTTTGCAAACCCTTCATTCAAGTTTGGATCTTGTTCAATTTTATCAAATTTTAAATATTCGTTGACATGATTTGCTGTCTGAATAGCACGAATAAGACCAGATTGAACAAAACGAGTAAATTTTATGTTGGAATCTAACAGTGCTTTACCAACGAGAACTGCTTGTTCGTTTCCTAAGTGAAAACAAAAATTTATCTTTTTATTTCTTAATTTTCTCAGCTAATCTTACCTAGAGCTGTAAGGTGTTTTTTATCTTCATGATCGACTCGAGTCGTATACTGTCCATGACGTATAAGATAGATATGTCGACATGCTTTCGTCTTCACGTCGTCTACTGTTGACAACTGCCTTCTGAAAAAAGACATTTGACAATGTTTAATGTCATAGAAGAAGAAAAACTGTGCATACACACCCATCCCAGTTCCAGTTCCATTTTTGTGTTGATTGAATTGGAGTCGAACGTTTATGATCACCACTACTGTTTTCGCTTTGATTAGTGTCTATTAAAGTGGCTGCATTAATAACACTATGAAAAATATTTGATTTTTTGTCTTTTCGAGTTTGATAGAAATAAGTGGTTGCTGTCGTGCAAAACACGCCAATAGAACCAATTTTTATTGAGAATCGCATATCTAAAATGAATGAATATATAATAATAAAGGTATTTTTTCGCTTATTAGTAGCACAAAGATAGAAGTAGCGTTTTCTAAAAAAGTAAACGTTCTTGAATCAAAACTTTTCTTGAATCAAAATGGAGTACCGGGAAATTATGAAGGAAGAAAGTTATCATGGCAACTTATTCAAGAGAAGTGAGAGTCATCAAATAACTACAAATAGAAAACTAGAATATAAAACAGTTAAATAAATTGATAACAACCAACCTTCGTTCAATGTGATCTGCGTAAGAAGTTGATCTTTTTTGACTTGAATAATTTTCTGGAATCAAATATTATATTTAATTTTCTTCTTTAATCAGACCAGCTTTATCATCATGTCGCCGTGTTGTAGCAACTCTCTATCATTATCACTCAACACTCTTATCATCGTTTATCGCAGCAAATATAATAGGACAGAAAAGACTCACTTATTGTTACTCGAGTGCCATATTAAGTAGCTTTCAATCCTGCTTCATTTTTGTGTTAGATGGAGACTTCGAAAGATGCGTCACACTTTAGCGTTATCCTTTAAACCTTATGTCTTATTGCTTTAAAATGAATATATATCATGCACAAAAGATGTTTGAAATTGGATTGAAAACGTCTTGTGCAATCTCAGATGAAGGAATATCCTGAGAATTTTGAAGTTAGAGGTCGATACAAAAAAGTTCAGAAAATTATTTTTCACCCCAGTGATCAACTGAAGTAAAGTCATCTTTTTAACGATCCGTGGCGATCGCTCATCAACGTACAAAAGGAAGGAAAGTATCAAATCAATCCGCAATAAGGCAGAATGCATGTTGATTCGTACTTATAACTTCCAATGTAATTTGAGTTTCTAGCGAAGCGTTATTGCAAATGGTGACTAACAAAATGGATAAAGTGGATGTTACCATGTATACAAAATGAAATTAATCGTTTGTAATGGCCGGATTAATATAAAATATTTGAAAGAGGAATGTATCAATGAATTTAATGTGACGCTCTTTTCTTCTGTTAGAAAACTCGCTCATTAAAAGCAGATAATTAAATAGATAGTTAAGCTTTTTTAGGCTTTCGAGGAAACAAATGAATGCTAAACAAACAAGTATTGCAGAAATTGATTCATTCAGGTATCCTAGAGGTAGAGCAAGATTTAAATCATATGGCCATTAGCCTTTATTTCAACAAAACAAAGTTTTATAATTTACTTTTGAATTGATTATGGCTAAGCGTCGACTCGAAGATGCTATTGTCGCATCGCGTGCGCTAAACGTTGGAATAAAATTAATTGATAATTTTAAAGGTGCTCAATCATTATTTTCCACTGATATTAATATGAATGCAGGTGTATTCTCATTGAGATTCAGTGATAATTTGGATATAATTGGTATTGGATACGGCGACGGTTCAGTTCGTCTATACTCAGTTACGAGTGGTAAACTAGTTTCTGAATTTCTAACGTCATCATTATCAAAAATTGAACATCTTCGACACTTGAGTATGGATTTGCCAGTAATGAGTTTAAAATGGCATCCACATCAAAGACATCTGCTATACTCAGCTTGTGCCGATGGTACAATACGTTTGAATAATCGTGAAACAAATGAACTGAGTGTAATTGTCTATGAGTGTGATAATGAGCTAACGTCCATAGATTTTTCTGCAAACGGAGAATATTACGCAACAACGGGGAAGGATGCGAATATACGTTTATATAATGCAAAACGGAATGTCATTTTACATAAATATAATAGCACGAAAATGAATACACAAGTAGAAACAATACTTAGTACTGGTACAAGTGATGAAATATGTACGACTGGTCATTACTATCGTGTATATGCTGTCAAGTTTCATCCGGATTACGCGAATATTTTGATTACAGGTGGATGGGATAATGTTGTTAAAATATGGGATATTCGACAGAAAGAATGTATGAATGAATCGATTGTGGGACCTCATATTTGCGGCGAAGGCGAGTAATGTTCGACAATACACTAATCAATGTCTTCTCGTTTTCTGTCCACATTCTTCCAGTTTACGGCTCCAATTCTGTTTTAGGTATTGATGCGTGTGATAACGATATATTGACGGCATCATGGATACGTTCGAATTCATTGCAGATCTATGATTTTCGTACAAGGGGTTTGTTACAAACATTAAAAGTTAAAGGTGCTGATGAAAAAGGGGAATATATGTATTCGGCTCAGTTATGTGATAATCATACCATCATAGCTGTTGGTAGCGGAACAAATTCGTGTCATGTGATCAATACTATGGATAATAATGAGTTAGCGCGTTTACCATTAACAAAACCGGTTTATGCTCTTGATTCAATGCTGGGTGGACGAGTGTTTGCTTTCGGTGGATTAGATAAATTTGTAATCGCTCATATGAAAGATAATTAGAAACAACTGGATCTCAATTATCTTTTGAATGCTACTGTTTTTGTTATCATAACACTAGTCGTGTATACTATAATGAAATGATAATTTCTCTAGTCAAATTAATGATTTTTATATGTTTCTATTATTTTTTGTTGCAATATAGTGTAAATTATTTTTCATTTTATCGGCTATTACTCACAATTTTTGGAAATTTTTTTGATTGTTTATAGATGATATAGCAATTTCTTACGACATTTCGCCTCACAATTTGTCGACGGTTATCTTCAATTTTTCAGAGTTTTTTTCGTAGAAAGAATATGTATACATATAATAGAAACTTTTCTCTATCTGAGGAGAATGAAATACTGCTGTTGTATAGATTCCGAAGAACAACATATTTCGCAGTGAAACATTACTTCTAAAGTATTTTCTTATCATTTCGGGAGTTCTATTACCAATAGAAAGCTTTGAAAGGAGATCTGCCAAAGTATTAGTAAATAGAATTTTTTCATTTATTATGCCTCTAAAATATGCAGGAAACGTTTTCAGTATGACCGTTAACTTTGAATTCGTATGTACCTAATGGAAAGTTCGTTTTACGTCTGAGAAGTTTTAATTTTTCACCCTTTTCCTATTGATTTTTTAGATAACTATGGCGTGGGTTGATAAAATGATACCGTATCCTTTATTAACTGTGCTTGAATAGAAACGATTCTTAGGTTTTCTTTTTTCACAGAATTAAATGTTTTCTTAACAACATAATGATCAGTGAACGAGAAGAAGATTTTGAAAGTTGGAGAAAAGAATTTCAACAAGAAAGATTATTACGTATTGTTCGTGAACGAGAAATAATGAAGGAAACAGCCAAACGATGCAAGTATGTTTTTGTTCATTATTTTGGTGCTTGTCCGATTATTTTATTCTTTTCTCTCAAGAGCCTATCAATATCGAGAGCAGGAAGCAAATGAAGCAATAGAACGTCGACGTCAATCAATACTTGCTCAACGAAAAGCTGCTACTGTACAAGCAACAATGCGTTTTCAACGTGGATTACAAGGATTTACAGTAATGGGTATGAGACTATCAATTATTAACTGTATTTATTCGAGAATGTTTTGTTCGTCTGTCTAGATCCTGATAAATTTGAGAAAGCTATAGAGACTATAACGGGCAATAAAGCATCATCACGTTCGACGCCAAGGCAACGGCGAAATCAAAATAAACTTTCATCATCTCCAGCTACGTTTCGTCGTTCAATTTCAATGGAAGAACTTTATACTAGACAACACCAGTCACAACAACAAATCAATACTACAAACCCACATGCACATCGAACAGATTATAATAATAATCAACCACATTTAACTCGGACAAATTCAGCAACATATTTTCCACATGATAAAGAATTTGTAAGTCGCTAAGCAGTGTAGATACATCAGGTATCGAAAAGCGCTCTAATCTCAGTGGTACTCTATTCATTGTTTTCCAAATGTCTCATGAGTTGGCATTTATGATTTAATTTTTTTCGTATGTATTTTAAGCAAAACAATAATGCAATTCAATATACATCACCACTGCATGAAGTTCAAAGAAAAGTGTTAACTGATTTTGCTGCTCAAGTTCAATCAACTTTTCACAATGGTAGCTCCGAACAACATCAAAAAATTTATCAGACACCTTCAGTAAGACAAATCACAACAGTTGCATCTAATAATGGACGACGAAGCGATTTTGATCAAACAACATGGGAAAATGAAAGTATGGACAGTCTAGAAAATGAAAATCGTCTTTATCCTCAGTTAATTGAAAATAATCATCAGAGAATACCCGGACCGATTGTAAAAACGAGCAATGTTCTTAACGTTTTGACAAAACAACAACAATTAAATATGGCGCCGTTGAAACATTCTATTCAACCACAATCGACAAAAGAAGACGCCGATACAGCAGCCGCACTCAGACGAAGTTATCACGAAAGTTTTTTTGTTAAAAATACACCGGTAACAGCTGATGAACAAGTGAAAGCATGGCTAGGTGCTACAACAAATGGAACAGTGACAAATAATACAAACACAAAAGCGAAAACATCATCATTAGATGGTGGCGATAGTATCCGATCAGCCAATGGAAGATTAAGAAGTATTCTCAAACGGTCACCATCCGTAGACAGTACCAACGATTTAGAATGTGTTGTTTTACAAACAAAAAGAGTACCAAACACCAAAACAAGTCATGTATCTCGGTCTTCGTCGTCCAATCAACATGCACTGGGAGATAAAGTACGATTGAAAGATAGCCTCGAAGTTATCAATACAAAACTTCTCAAAGGTTTAGATACAAAAGTATGAAACAGATAACATGTGAATCGCGTTTAACTACAAATACTTTTAATTCTTTTTAGAATAATTCATTGGACAAAAAGAAGACGGTCAGATTTGCTCAAGAAGCATTGCTGAGTGAACGTTGTGCATCAGATACATTATTAATGAGACAAATGGATTATTTTGATGATGGTAAATACTCTTGTCATCAGAAAACTCTTTCTAAATATTATTCTGTATTTTAATAAATAGATACCCATACTCCAATACGTCGAGTGCAATCAGCTGGAATTGGCGCGTCATCATCTCATCGGAATAAAACATTTCCTTTAAAAGATGATAGAGTTCGTCCAGCAGCCCTAAAACAAACACAACAACAACATGTCAACGATAATCAAGCTGCTAGGTATGTTCAACCGTGGTAGCAAATACAGGATAGAATGACTAATTTGTATATTACTCAAATGTGATTGTTAGAATTACTCATATTTTAACTGATGGACACTGAATATCGCCAGAAAAATGAAAACTATTTAAGTTGATAATTGCTCACCGTCCCACTCAAAACATATTTTAAGAGTAATCTATTTTTAATTATACTAACCATTATCGTTCGTTATTTGACTGTTATTATTGTCGAATATCGATGTTGTTAACATATTCTAATGAAAATCCCACGATATATCAGTAGATGTCTGGTTTTGCTATATAAGACAAGGTCATTTTGAACGGTAGTATGCAATTTTTTAAGTACATCTGATACATCTTTAACCAATACTCTTTCGAAAGTTCCAATTTAAAACATAGACAGACGCGTACTGATTTCGTAGTTAAATGCTCACAAATCAAACGAAATTTTCATCGAAAAATCATATTCTCAGACATTCGGGTCGTCAATCACTAGACCGATATGAGATATTAATTCTTTAAACACGGAATAATTTAAATAGTGTAAACATTTTTATACGTGCATTTTTTTCGTCAAGTCAAACGCGATATCTGTTGCTGACTGTTCAATAATTGATTTCCGGCCGGTTTAAAGAACTAATTGATTCTTGATCTTGAGCACTATAGTATAACTTATCTTTTGGTAAATCGACAAAATCGATCAATGGACTTTTTGCTTGATGAATGCCTGATCTAGTTACGACACAAGAACATGCCAAACCATTGACTTTTTTTATACACATGTTGTATAAAGCATGAAATGTATTAATATAATCATCAATGAAGACTTCATTAGACTCTGATCTAGTAATTCTCTCAAAAAATCTCTTATATAAAATAAAAACGAAAGGTATACGCACATATCTTTCAATCGGGTATCAAATAAAGTTCGATTAATATCATATCGTCATGTTACTTTACTTTGTTGTTTTTAAAAACCCGTAATATAAATGGTTTTTAGATATTATTGACCAGTGCAGTTATTACACATTCATCAGTAATATTGAGATCAATAGCTGAATGCCGTACAGTTTTCAAACACTGTATGTTAATGGTAACAGAGATAATTCGAAGATTGATATTCGACAGAGAATCGCTTGTTGAAATCGTTTGAAAGTCTAGAAACTAGTATATGGTCAATAAAAAGTTACAGAACAGTTTGATTTCACTAGAATTTTTTATTTTACTTTAGGATTTGCCGATTAAGATACACTATGCATAAAAGTCAGGCGCAAAACTAAGCAGCGTTTCGCTACAGTAACTTAGTCGAACTGCTATATGCAGTGGCAGAAAAAAATTGTTTGAAAGTAGAGGATGATGAATTATCATACGTATAACGTATTGAAAGGGATAGAAACTGGTAATGTTGGTGATAAAACAATACGCAAGAAAAAAATTAACGATCGTTGAAGTCCTCATCATTTTACTGCGAACATTGATTATTTTGATAAATTGTTGGGAACTAGAAACCTATACTGAGCTCATTGAGACTATGGCCTCTTACAAACTGAGTAAAGGACATGTGAAACAATAATTTCTCAGTTTTAGGCATAAGTTCTGGAAATGATTTTTAAAGTTCTTGTTTAAAATGAATGCGTACTGGTATTAATTTAACATGATTCTGACTGTTACGATGATCTTAATATTTCTACTAAATCTTTGGTTTTTGATTCATGCTTGAAATGTAACCTTTATGAGTAATATTACTTTATTGTTGTAAAGATAAAAAAATAATGCATACAGTCATTCTTCTTTTTTCTTTGTGTAGACAGAATGATGATGCGTAGAAGAAAGAGAACTTGTCGTTATTATTATTTTTGTAAAAACTCAATAAACAATAGTACAACCCGACAAATAATATCAATAACTATTTTATATGTAAAAACACAATGTACATCCCATCACAAATATCATCAATATATTTCTTGTTGCGATTTTGTTTTAAAAAATATGTACTAGATTATTCCCACAAGCCTCGCTTTTATCGATAGGAGACAATCCAGAGTGCTGAGATACTGTAAAATCAGCCAAGGAAGCCTTGCTCTATATTTACTTTTTTTAACTCTATTTTAGAGCAGTTGATCAACGTCTTGAAACTGGTTCACAATATTCAGAATCTTCATCACATGCAAGTTCAAAACCACCTATTCATCCGTCAACATTAAATCGTGGTTATTATGGTATTGGAATGAAACAACGTGAACTCCGAACAAAATTACATAAAACACGTTATGCGCAAGCGTTAAGACAAACAAATTCGCCATTTTATGATAATCATACTAACAGTCAAACAAGTCCATCAATGACAAGACGAACATCGGAAAATGGAAATGATCCATCAGAAACAACTCATAATGAAAATGTATCTGATGATATTTTAGCTTGATTTTTGAGGAATTTTGTCTTGATAATATTCTTGATTTTAGAAAATGAATAATATACCATCAGCGAACTCGAAACACATGATGGATGATGAAAATGATTCTGTTTTCAGTGAACTTCGCGTATGTATGAGTTCAACAGCAATACCAGATTATTCAAATAACGCTAAAAACACTCATGAATTGACAACAAATGGAAACAATCGAAAACAAATTTATCCAGCACCTCAACAAACGTAAGAAAATGGTATTGATACTTAGTACGACTCTTTAATTTTAATGTTATTTATAGTATGCCAATACAAAGTAAAGTATTAGAAGATAAATTAAACGGATCCAGTAGATCAAAAAGTAATGCCATTTTTTTAACACAATTTTTAAGCTCACATATTCAGTATATTTTAGATCAAACTCCATTGGGTTTATCAGCTGAAGAGAAACGAATTCAACAATCATTGGATCGTTTAGATTTACAATTGAAACGTACGCTTGTTATTGAATTTCATCTTTACATGCTCTTATCATGTGTTTTTCTATTTTCAGAAGTTCAAACTAAAACGAAATCACAAAAGTAAGTGAATGAAAAGTACGTTGCCTAATACTAACGAAAATCATTGATTTTTTTAGAACACACAAACGTTGAATTTTCTGTTCAATGATGTAATAAAAAAAAGATGGATAATGAAAGTACTTTTCTCTTTTTTTTTAAACTGATAGTTTGATGATCAAATTTTTTTGTTTTTCAGGGATATTTTTTCCATTTTTGTTTTTTCTTTGTGAATATAGCTTACTTTTTTTCCATATATTTAAACTCTTTCAAAAATTGAGTCTAATGTTTTTTAAGCATTCGCTTTTTTATTTGTAAAAGATTACAGTCGAAACTTTGTTTTGTTTTGTACATATTCATCTTTTATAAAGTAGTTGTTTTCTACACGTTGTTATCGATTCTTTACTTATACATATAAATGTACATATGCTGCATCATGTGGCGAGTTTCTTCTATGATGTACGTTTGTTGAATTGACTGTTCAGAAACATGGTCTTCTTCATTAAATAACGTTGCTTTTATTCGACTTACAGCATTCGACATGTACTGGTATCCTCTAATGATGCAGCAACTTCACCATACTCTTCACTAGATAGTTATGCTTCAAAATATGTACGCACTGCCTATATTTGTATTTGTCTATCTTACGCAATGAATGTTAAGATTTTATGTGCAGTAGTAACCTGTACCTTGCATACATAAAACTTGACTTTTTTCAATACATACACCCAGACTACTGTTAATGCTCATTTCGAGAGAAAGCTGAAGTTAATATCTTTCGAGTTTCTAATTCGCTCTTGTAACGGGTGTTCCAGAAATAATGACGCCGTTTTAATTTGCAGTTATCTCTTTCAGTTTTTGAGCTAGTGACCTAATTGTTTTTTCAGATAATACGCCTTAAAATTCTTTACAAAATCATATCTAAACTATAATTTCAGAACTTCAATCTTAAGGGGAGGGTACCCCTCCCCAAACAAAAACATACCCTCAAACTTCGCCAGTTTGTAGAGGACGCCTCCAAGGGTATACATGTGTAGTAACTCACGAGTTGGATAAGTTTTGACTTAGGTGAAATTTTTAAAAATTGAAAAAATCGATTTTCCCAGCTATTTTGTACCTCGTGCAAAAGGTATTTCTTGCACAGTCGCTCACGTCAACGAAGCATTTTGGAAAGTTTATGTCAATGCAGGAGTTATTCATTGCATTCATCTCTACCGGATGACATGTTTCTTTTTTAGTGCAGACTGCGTAGATACAAAGTTTTGGGTCATAAACTAAGTCCGAATCAGAATTCTACTAGTAATTCGCGATTTCCCCTAACAGAACTCAACTTCTATGTAATAAAAATATCATATTCGGAATCAAGATAGAAGACTGAGTCGAATGATGTATACTTCGAAATTTCGAAATCTAGCCTGCCATTCGGCGCTTGATTTTTGCCATAGATGAGAAGTTTCTTTATCCAAACAGATTGCAACACCATGAGCTGATCTTGTCTTGTTGACACTTGGTAGACCAGAATAGATAAGAGTGCAGTCATTGATCATTTTCATACCACTATCATAAATTCCAGTTTCACATAACTCCGCCACTTTGATGTTGTACTTCTTCAGTTGTTTGATTATAAGTTGTTGTTTTGAGTAATGAAAACATGATCTCACGTTCCATCCACCAAAGAACACTGATTGATGTACGTTCGCGCACTTGTTCTTTGTCTTTTCGTTACCAAGAAAAGCTTAACATCCACTTGATAGGTTGCCACAGATGGCTACCGGCATCATCCATTGCGGACAGATGGCTACCGGCAGACCAGGGTCGCCTCCCACAGCTGTTAGTAAACAGCTGCGAGCCCCTATGGAAGAACGAAACTTCCCCGGCAGGCGTTATAATTGAACAGGTGCATGGTCAAATGACAGATGATTGTAGAGATTTTTATGATGATCTAAAATCTGGATCTGTTACTTCATTTACACATTATTATCAACAAAAACAAAAATGTCTTGAACAAAAGTCACTAAACCCATTTTATGGTTTTCTTTATTTATGTGAGGATATTTATGTGAATAGTAAAAAGGATATACAAACACGAGCATTGCGATTAGAGCAGACTCTCTAAAGTGGCTAACAGGTAAAGTCTCATCATGTGTTTTTGAAGGAGAGATGAAAATACCGCTTTTCAAGATCCGACTTATATATCTTATTATAAGTTGCTTTGTAGAGTATATGTAAAAGATTGTAAAGCAGTTACTTAAAAATAGTAAAAAAATAATTTTGGTATACGTAGAGTTATCTTACATAATATAACAAAAAAAATCAAGAAAATTGAGCATTTTCAATCTGAATTATATTCATTTTCACAATTATTAATGTAATTAAAATTTCAGCAAATTATTTACCACCGTATGCAGTTCAAAGCCAATTTAATAACCTAATAGTTTTTGTTTGCTTTTTCTATTCAATATAAGGAAGAAATGTTGGACTGAATACAAGGAGATAAACGAAACATTTAACTATTTTTTACGTTCAATGAAATAACGGATAACATCTTTAATGGTACCCGCGTTGGACCATAAAACATCTACAAGTTGTTTAGCTTCTTTTTCAAAGACTTTTAATCGTTCTTTTGTACCATCTTGACCGAGAACCGAAACATATGTAACGGTATGATTGCGTTGATCAATTAGTTGTGTTTTTCCTATTGATTCTCCTTCGACATCCAACAGATCATCTTTCATTTGAAATAAGATACCCAACAGACGTCCTAATTCTCGAATTCGATCAATTTCTTTCGTATCAGAAACTCCCGCTAAAATCGCTGGACATACCAGAACAACCTCAATTGCTTTACCAGTTTTTAACCAAGCAATGTTATCTAATATTGCCAGAATATCATTTGTCCTACTATCTATGTTTATACGACTGCGTGCGGCAAATAGATCCATCATTTGTCCGGTGCACAGTTCGTGCATCGATTTTGAAAGTACATTTACTACACTATTAATACGTTCAACAGAAAATCCTTTTTTAACCAAATCTGTGTTAACCAATGTAATGGCATGAGAAATAAGATCAACAGCCACCAATTGTGCTCGTCCTTCTGCTAATGTATTCGGAACTTCATTATCGACAAAAGTATGCAATGTGGCTCGACCTCGTCGCAAATTCGCGTTGTCTTGTGCGGGAAGATCGTCAAATATCAGACTACTAGTATGCAAATATTCTACTGCTCGTGCTAAAGGAATTAAACTGTTTGCTGTAAGTTGATACAAATCACCCACCATGAATAGAAGAAGAGGACGCAATCGTTTCCCACCCGCACTCACACTATAGTTGATTCCATCAATTAACAATCGTTCTTGTTGATTTTCCGTTGAAGTTGAATCAATTTTTAAATTATCTTCAATAAATTTTAAATGATCACTGGCATATGTTTCTAATTTTCGATGTGTTCGTGCATATTTTACACCATATTCATTTAATGAACGAAAAAATGACTTTTCTGGATCACTAACTTGATTAAATTTTGCTCGTAATGACCAACAGTAGGATTTTAAGTCTGGATATTGATGTAAAAATATATCTAAAAACTCAGAAAGTTTAGATGAACTAAGCTCTAATGAATAAAATGTACGAATGATTCGTCGACCAAGAAATGCTCCTGTTTGTATGTCCTTTTTACTATTCACATAAATATCCTCACATAAATAAAGAAAACCATAAAATGGGTTTAGTGACTTTTGTTCAAGACATTTTTGTTTTTGTTGATAATAATGTGTAAATGAAGTAACAGATCCAGATTTTAGATCATCATAAAAATCTCTACAATCATCTGTCATTTGACCAAGAAATGGCATTATCCATAAACGTTCCCTATTATGTACAGAGTGAGCACCACCCATAAAAGCCGTCGCCGTATAGGTAAAATGAGATTTCATCATAGAACCTAAATAAAGTTCAGGATCAAAGTAAAAATTATCTGACTCTTTGATGTCTGAACGTTGAGAATGTAATAATAATGCTAGATCATTAAATGTGTCATTTGTAATATGATTTTGATTAGTCAATGTAATTAAACAATCAAATGTTTCCAATACTATATCTGTTACGGATAATTTTGGTAATTGAGTACGATCAAAACTTCCTCCACATAGAACATCTTCCATTATAGCCAACCATTTGTCAACATCGGAATATGCTAGTAATGTCATCGAAGAATCTTGTTCTTCTTTTTCTCTTTCATCTTGTAAACCGTCGACAAAAGCATAGGCAATACCGTAATAATAGCCCATTTGTAATGCTTGAAAAAATTTTACATCTAATTCTGCAATATTTTCATTATTTTCAGCAAAACCATATAATCTTGCAATACCAATACCAATTGTTGTTCTTAATAATCGACTAAATGAACCAGATTCAGTTAAATAAATTGGAAAAGTACATAATGCTTCTTTCCATTTTTCTAATAGCCAAGTCCATTGATCGATATATGTATCTGGTGACATGATGATAGTTGCTGATGAATTATCTGTAGGCGCTAAATATGAGGAAATATTTTCATATTCATCGGATGCTATATTATTATTGTCATTAACATCTTTCATGTACTGTGCTAATAATGATACCGAATTCAAAAACATGTGAATGTATTGCATAAATGTTTCACTAACTGTTTTATTTTTGTTCGAATTCGTAAGAATTTGACCAAATCTCAATAGCTAAATAGAAAACAAGTAATTTATGAACTGCATAAACAGGAATTTTTTTTGTTACTTACCATAAAGTCATCTGCTTGATTTCTTAAATTCATTTCATATGCTTTTTTCATTTTATAGATTAAAGCTGCTTTTGCTAATATATTATGTTCTGTTTTTGTTACTGCTTCAAATTCACCTAATTTTGGACGTTTCAACATTTGTTTTAGACCGAGATCAATCATTTCTTCTAATAAATGTAAATTTGGCTTTGTACGTTTATTAAAATCTGTTAACAATGATATAAGGTATTGTTTACTGATTGATTCAGCTTTTTTATATTCTTCGTCTATATTAAATGTATCGTGACGAAAAGATGATTTTGTCTCATGTTTTGGTGTAAATTTATTTCGAATATATTGACGATATTCATATAAAAGTTCATCATCGTCTTTTTTTTGTTTGATTATTTCTTTTGCACGATTTAACTGTAATTTACGCCACTTATTTCTTTTTAATTGTTCATTCGTCTTGTTACCAGATAATATTTGGATAAATTCACCTCGTGAATTTGTCATTGTTTTAAGATGTTGAATGGTTAAATCGATACTATCTAATGTTTCGAGAATCCATTGACGTACTAAATGTTCTGGAATTGAATGATGTGTAGATAAATCTTTTGTTCGACGTAATAAACGTTTTCGAATATGTTCAGTACTTGTTAAAATCCATAAATGACTGGATTTTGTTGCATATTCTTCAAGTTTTGAGTATACATAATGTGTGATTATTCGTTTTTGACTATGTATCGTATCTTTTGAAGAATCACTGTTTAAGGATAGATGTCGACTAAGACTGCGGGGTTTAACTCGACGAGTATGAAATATTGATGCAGGTGAACAACAATTCGCAGAAACGATTTGAACGTGTGGCATAGAATTATCTAAATAAAAAAGCCAAGAACTACTGTAATTGCATACAATTGACAAATTTGGGTCTTTCGTACAGTAACTTTCACTCTTTCAAAACTTATGCTTTCATACCAAATGAATTTATTTTTAGAAACTACAATATTTTCAGAATATTGAAAAAGGCATTCTACAAGTCTGATTATTTTTTTACTGCTAATTTCCGACGTTTTAAGAATACCGTCGACTTTTTCAGTGAGAGTATAGTTTTTTAGCTAATGAACGGTCTTTTTAACGTTGTTATTAAAAAAAAAAAATGAGTCATTCAAGTGTCATGCTGAAATCATAATATTTACGAAAAAAACTTATGTTGACCTTGGAAAAAAAGGAGACAAGAAAAAGTACTATTTGCTTTCGTCATTGTTCTGTAACGAATTGATGAAAACTCTACGTCTTGATAGCGCATGCGATTATTCAATAAAAACAAAGTGCTTTTAAAATTCCTCACGAGAAAAGCTTTTTAAGTGTTATGCGATTTTTGGAAAACTCTATTTAATTTCAGAACCTTTCTGAACTTTTGTTTGAACGATAGAGAAATTATAATTCGGTAAAAACTTGTTAATTAATTCCAATAACTTGTGCACACGGCTAGCTGTGTAACAGGATCTTAACAGTATCCTATGACTTTCGGGTGTCTCATATTTTATTAAGATTCTATAGGATTTTGTTAAGATTCTGAAAACCCTGAATGGAATTCTAGCAGAATTCTGATAGGATATGTATGTATCTCAAACTTCGACTTGGGGTGATTGATAAGTCAAATCTGTTTTATCATGTCTGAAAGGCTGATATTACAAAGTTGATCCTATTCAGTTCAAACACCAGTACATAATACTTTTAAGCATTGCCTACTATTTGGCAGACCATTTGTTGTTGGAGTCGTCGACATTGAAAGTTGAAAACGGGATGCTCTATGTTAAACGAAAACAAAAGTTAATTTTTATAGATTGTCAAATTAACATCCTCGTGTTGTAAGCAGTCATGCTGTTACTCACATAGATACGTTCGAATCACAGAAATACGTTTGAAAATAAAATTATTCTTAAACAAAAGTAAAATAAGCATGGACGTCAATGTTTTGCTTTCTTGCTTTTACGTTTGTTTGCTGCAACTACGAGTTTTTTGTTGTGACTGCAGATAATCACTGTATCAGGAAAAAAAATTGTCAACAATTAGAAATTAATATAGCCTAAAATATTGAAAAATATAAATTCAAAAATATGAATATGAAATAATTGAGTGATATGATGAATCAGAATATAATTGTGACGTTAAGAGTGTATTTACCTAATAGAACATCCTAGTATACAAAAAAACAGTCCCGAGTGGCCTGTTTTTTGAAAATATCTTTCTTTCTTCTCCTGACCTAGTAGTAGCATAATACTTCCGTTCTGCAGCTGAATCACTTATTATTTTGCTGTAGTTTCTGTTAATCGAACTACAATACCTTAAAATAATATCATAAATGAAAATTATATGCAAATGATCTTTTTTTTGTCAGTGTAAAATTTTCTTTCCGTCACATTTAAATCATCGAGCGCACTTCGTACGACATAATTGAGATGGGCAGAGCGTCCCCATAGCATAATGGATTGCGTACCGTACCGCACCGTGATACTATACAATTTTTTATTGATACGGTATGATAGAGAACTTAATAACCTTTCAGACTCTCACATACGGTATAAAAATACTGGAAGTCAGTTTACTTGTTCAACTGGAAAAGCAGAAACTTTTGAAAACAGATTTAATAAAAGATGTGAAATTTTTCGATATATCATGTGGTATATTTGTCTTGATAGGCTTACCTGGTTTTACTTTTCAGTATTCAAACATAGGGAAATGATCCTTGACCAATGAAGTGACACTTTTTTTGAAGCTTCATTATAAAAACATGTTAAAAACATTGTTTCAATATCACCAGCGGTGCAGAATTCTATAAGATGTCATTTTTCCTCCAAGTTGATGTGACTCGATAACACATGACGAAGTTAAAATATTCTCTTAGAAAGTGAAGGGAAACGAAAGCTGATGAATTTATTATTTTATTATCTTTTTTTATGATTGTAATATACAGTCTCAAAATTTGGTTTTGTCTCTATAAGAATTAAAGTTCTAGTCTAGTTTCTAGTACTTTGTTTGGATGGGTCAATAAAACTACTTAACAGTTAAAAATCACATTTTATTTTAATAAAGTACTAAGCAAGTAAACTTTTCCAATATTTGTGATACTCCAGAAAACGACAAAAAATTCTTTAAAGAAAAACTTATAACTAAAATCTACACAAAAACTACTATCTTTTAGTACTAACCCTTTACCTACCAGTGGGTCACCCATGACCCATTCGTAGAATTATTATAAAAGATAATGAAGCACATGATAAAGAATGGATTGCTTTTTAGAGCAAGATAAGTCCATAAGCTATCCATTGTTAAAAAATATATTTTGTTTCATTGCTCTGTCTCGGGAATATATAGTTTACAAACTCAATAAATCTGAAAAAATTGAAAACTTTTTTAAAAATTCTTTTCACACCTACAGGCAATAAACATCTTGCGGACGTGTTGCGTGATACATATCGAAGAAAATGTCGACTACTGAATCAAGTGCGTTTCGAAAGTTTCACAAGAGATAAAAAGGATAGGAGATGGTAAGATATAAAATGGACACTGGAGTGACCATTGGAGGAGGAGGTGGGGAATGACATAGATCATACATATATTATTTAAAATCTTATCACATTAGAAGCTGAAATAATATTTATTATTGATAAAATTTTTTCATCGATGATATTAAATACTTAAATAAAGCCAGTTGCTTTTTTCTAAATGTGTGTCAAAAATACATGTGTTCTTAAGAAAATATTTTTTTATGTATTCAGCTTTCCTTTGTGTATATTAGCCAAATAAAGAAACAGATGCCTTTTGTGACAAAGTCAACACTGTCATAAAAGAGAAAAAAGTTGGATTTTTCCAAGTGGTTCTATCCCCTCCTTTCTTCACCGATCACTGGAATGACCAAAATCCTCTGTACAAAGAACAGTTGGCCTGGTCGATCTGTTCATACTATTGACATATTTGGAAGACCAATACTCTATTCGTGTGGTTATTTTATCAGCGGCTCTTGTGGAACCGCTATAGTAGATAAAGGGTTAAAACGAAATTTTCTGATCATGTATAGCTCGGGAAAAAATCGTTGTAAGTCGGCAACTTCCTGTGAGTTACTTGTTGGACTAGATTTACCTAATTATCATGAACAATAAAGAAGCGAATTTCCTGCTATATCTAGTTTAAGAAAACCAGGACTGTTTTTTGCAATAACTTACACAGTTGCTAAGTGCACAAGTACCGGATGCAAGTATTTTACTCGGATTGAAGTATTATCGATATCTAGAAATATACCAACATAGAACATTCTACATCAACTATCAATGTTGTCTCTCTCTCCCTCTCTCTCTAAACTTTTAATGGTTTCACATTTATTTCCTGAATCTCTAGAAGTTTCGTAGCTGAAATAGTTTCATATTCGATATACGATACCAGTTAAGGTTTTACATTTAGTTTAGGTAATTCAAAAAAAGATTCGGATCCAAAATCCTGCCTGCAGGTGGTGTACCTGATGCATCTTCCGCAGGCAAGTTGCGGTTTCCAAGGCTAGCATACCAACCTATGGCTGCAAAATATGCAGAACATGCACTGGCATCTATACTCTACATCCACGCAAGTCCAAGACCTTCATCTATCATCGTTCGAGCGTGGCAAAATATCTC